CTATGAGGTATCTCACTGTTAGGAGCTTTAATGCAACCCAACTTCACAATTTTCCTCTGGTTTGTCAACTGTTTTATTTCTCACTATTTTAAGTCATTCTATCTGCATTGTCCAGATAAGTACCATGTTCCTTAACAACTCTTTTGACACTTCACCAGAACCAGTAAGAAAGAAAATACATTTTTACATTGCAACCCAGGACACATACTTTCCTTTTAAAAAATTAAACTAATTTCCCAAATAATTAGTTTTACCATTAGCAATGTATTGATGTTATCTTTTTTAATGCTTTTTTTAAATAATCACAATTTAATCACCCTGCAACATTGCCACCTGCCATTTAGAAAACAATTCTAAAACTACACAGAATGTGCTAAGCTCTTTGTTCCTACCACCTTCCACCACAGCTCCAAAATAAGAAAATGGGTGAATTATAGTAAGTCTATTCTGAGTGCAGAGCCTGGCACAAAAATGAGACATCCAAGACCCTCCTGAAGTCCCTGCAACACTGTGACTATTTCTATCAGCAGATGCAAGTGCTGAAAGGTTTCTCCACTTCTGCTGCCTTATCAGTGAGATTAGGTAATTCTGCACTTAACAATATATACCAGGTTTACCACTGATCACAAGCCAACTCTTTCATGAAAATTCTTCTTAAAGAATCTGCTACAATAGGATTCTAACACCACTACATTTTTCAGATTGCTTTTTATGTACACCATTCCATTTCATCTTCCCTCACAACCTATGAGGTAAGTAGACATTGTTCTTCCTTTTATTAACAAAGGAAAGGGTTCAGGAGTTATGTGACTTGCCAGAAACAAAAGGGCTAATGAGAAGCATTAGGTAGGCTCAGACTTTCTGGTCTGTCCACTGTCATAGTAAAACAATTTTCCTTTGGAATGTAGGATGCAAATATGAACTTAAAGTGTATTAAGTATCTAGATACAAAAATGAAGATGAAAGCATACCAGTACTAGTATCACAAAATTAAGATTAAAAATAGCAATGACATATTAATAACTTTAGTAGTCTCAAATTACTGGGAGTCAGTGATTCACTGACTATGAAATTACACAGAAATTCACTATAGAGGGGCTGGAGAGACAGTTCAACAGGTAAAGGTGAGTTTACTGCCAAACCTGACAACCTGAGTTCAATCCCTAGGACCCATATTGTGGATGGAGAGAAACAACTCCTACAAGCTCTCCTCTGACCTACGCATGTGTGCCATGGCATGCAAGAACCTACACATACATACATACACACACATAATTTTTTTAAAAATTCATCATAGAAAATTACAAAATTGGGTGGTCTGTAAGAAACAACTAGCCATATAAATTGCAAACTTATTCCAAACCATTCTTGGATTGTGACTTCATACCAAATTATGAAGTTCCTTATGTGAAATCCAATTTCATTTCAACATTTAGAAAATTACAACAGCATAAGCATGTTGTTTCTGCATACTTGCAACATGCACTTGACTTCCAGGGCACTTTGGGGCAATGTATAAAATCCATAAGCTAAAAGCAAAACCCAAGACAGAATATTGTTTCTGGAGTTTTAGGGGAAGCATTTTACTTTTTTTTTAATTTATTTATTTTTACGTGTGCGTGTGTGTGTACACCATGGCATACACATGGAGGTTAGAGGACAGCTTATGAAAGTTAGTTCTAGGGATCAAACTCGGGCTGTCAGGCTTGGCAAGTAGCATTTTTACTGGCTAAGCCATCTTGCCAGCCTGTTTGGCACGTTTTGAGACAGGATCTCACTACGAAGTCCTAACTAACCTGGCACTTGCTTATGTGGCCCAAGGTGGCCTTGAACTCCTGGCAATTTCAGTCTCCCCAGAGTTGGGCTTATAGGTGTGCACCACCATGCCACCCATGCTGTTTCTTTTAAATAAAAAGGCACTTTCCTATATAAGAAATTAGTTTAAATGTGCAGAATCAGGCTAAGCCTTCAATTGTCCAGGTGAAGAAGTGACATTTCCAACAGTAACAAATAACACAAATGAAATCATGGTCCAGATCTGTCTGTTAATCCAGAACTCTACACCACCTCTGAATTCAATAAAATGTGTTCTTTAAAGAGGCACTAACACAGGCAGGGTGTGGTGGGACATGCCTTTGACCCCAGCAGAGGCAGATAGATCTCTGTGAATTCAAGGCCAGCCTAGTCTACACAGTGAGTTCCAAGCCAGCCAGGGCTACACAGTGAGACCTTGTCTCAAAAAAAAAAAAAAAGAAAAGAAAAGAAAAGAAAAAAAGCCGGGCGTGGTAGTGCACGCCTTTAATCCCGGCACTTGGGAGGCAGAGGCAGGTGGATCTTTGTGAGTTTGAGGCCAGCCTGGTCTATAGTGAGTTCCAGGACAGCTAGGAGAAGACCCTTTCTCAAAAAGACCAAAAGAAAAAAAAAAAGGCCATTAATACCTAAAATGTTTTAAACACTTTAAGAGTCAAAATCTAGGTGAACAGAGTTCACAGGAGTTTTAATAACTATAGGTATCAACTACCATAACTTCTTTTTCTCATACTAAAAGTATTCATTTATTTACTCAAAAAAGTTCTGCTGAGAATTGTGCTAAGTATTGGGGACATCAGGAAACAAAACAGACATGGCCTCTGGCTCTTGTAGTGAACAGTCCGGTATGCCTCTCTAAAAATACTTCTCTATGAAATGACAAGATATTTACTAAATTCCCTCACTACCCTACACAACTGTAAGAACACACTTTCTTCCATCTCTTCCAAAATTATAATGCCCCCTCGACACACTCCCTCTGAAATAGGAATACTTCCCTTCACAACTCTGAATTCCACTTTATGGCAGAAAGTATTAATCAGGACCCACAACAGATTTTTAAACTGACTTTATCACACCTCACAGCCTGGGACAAATTTCAAGAACTTTTCACAATCCACAGTACACCTTCCTGGTTCACAATCCTGGTCTCAAATGACTGTAACACACCTATCCTACCCTCCATTTTACTAGAAACCTGAGTCAGATAGTTTGGAGTAACTACTATGTTGGTATGTTGGGAAGCACAGCCCATAGATCCTGTGCGGGCCAGAAACAGACTTAATGCCTCTCTTTACTTCTTCCAGACCCTTCAAATTATCTCTGGACATACCTCCAGTTAAGCAGCATCTAATTTCACAAAATATGTTCTAATGACTTGTGAACAAATTCACTATGCTGCTCACCAGAACTGCTCAGAGTTACCTGAACATAAGGACAGTAGAGCAGAAAGATGTCTTCATAGGCAGTCAACCTAAATTCTAGAAGAATCTAAATTTAGTTGACTAACACACTGTACAGATTTTGCCCAAAACAGGGTCATTCTGTAAATGAGGGAGGTCACAGACCCTAAAAATGAAGTCTTTCTGCAGGCCACCAACACATCTTACTTGTTCTCCAACTGAAACCACAGATCATGCATGTATGTCTCTGGCCTACTGAACAGCACTGAATCTAAATGGAGAAGATCTCAGTCTTCTCCAGGAATAAATCACCAACATTTTACATAAAGAATCATCTACAATTCACCCATAGATGGCTCACTGTTCACACCATGAGAAACGAAGCTGAACCTAAACTAGAAGACCATGTGCAGGATTTTTTAATATGAAAAACTAGATGTCAGAAAAGACGTGAAGATACTAACAACAACAAGAATGTAAGCCTCAGTCTGAAGACAACTGAACATCAAGACCTAAAACATGCTCGTGTGGAAAACTCACAAGTGAGCTTATCAGACTCCAAAGAAGCCTATTAAAGTGGCCATAAACTTTACTCCATAATTTTGAGATAAGTTTTCCAGTCTCAACCAATATCATCATCTTAGGGTCCTGAGGTGCAATACATCCAGCATAATTCTCACATACACACACTCTAGCACTGTAATGGGTCCTGTGATGCAATACACCCAGCATAATTTCTATACACACACACACACGCAAAACATCCAGCACTGTAATCTTTTGCATAGCTTCCTGACCTGTGTTCCCTGAGCTCCTTCCTTCAACCGCCCCGGAACCAAGAACTACCAGGTCAGGAGGATGCCCAGCTACAGTCGGGCCGCCACTCCTCCTCCCGACAGGGCCGAGGCCCGCACTGTCCGCCCCTGGGTTCCAAGGCCCCGGACCTCCGGCCTCTCGCCACAGTGGACTCCCACAGACTTCCCTGGGGCTTACGGGTGCACACGCACCTCCCGGCAGCCCGGGAGCATTTTCCAGGGCGCTCCAGGAGCAGCGCCCCGCAGTCTGAGTGCTACCGGCCGCCAGGTTCGGGATGGCGGCCGAGGTCGGCGACCCCGCCTCCCTCGGGCCGAGCCCGGCCCCTGCGCTCCACTACCCGACCGTGCCGTCCAGGTGGCTGGACCGCCCTCCCCGGGCCCCGCGCACCGCCCCAGACCCCCGCGGGCCGCCGCCTCCTTAGTAGGTGACAGACGCAGCGCCGGGCCCAGGCCCGCCCCTCCTCCAGCTCCTCCTCAGCACCCAAGCCGGGGGTGAGCTTCTTACCAGGCGGCAGGACATGGCGAGGCCCGCCACGGCACGGCCTCCTCCGCCACCCCACGAGGCTCCCAGCCAGGGCCGGCGGGGGGCAGCGCCTGGGCCGCTGGAGCTTCTCCTCCGGCTGCTCGGCCGCCGCCGCCACTGCCGCCGCCTTCTCACAACCACCACAACAACATGGCGGCAGCGGCCACACAGAGCGCGCTCCCGTGGCCGAGCAGGGCCGCGAGCGGGGCGCGCGCACGCTCCAGCGCACAGTTCGCAGTCGGGCGAAAAGAGGGCGGGCCATAGCGTGTCAGATGGGGGCGGGGCCTGGTGCGTTGGCCACACCACCAGAGTTGGGCGGGGCCGCAGAGCTGCAGTGAAAAGCTCTGTGAGGAGACAGGCGGAAAGATAAAGAACAGATAAATGGGAAACGGACAGATAAAGAATGGTGACAAATCAAGAAAAAGACAACCCAGGATGACTCTACAGATTTTTAAGAGGTAGCTTTTCCTAGCTTAGTATCCCAGGGAAAGACTTTGGCTTACTCTACTATCCATCAAAATAGAACAGTAGTGGTGTATTTCACCTTCACGAACAGTCAAGATAAAACTAATTTAATGCAGTGCGTGCAATACAATGGGCAAAAGCTTATGCTCAGAATACAAGTTCGAACTGCCTCAACCTCACCTTCTACTCAAAGTCGCAGTGGTGCTCTCAAAAAAAAAAATTGTAACCTATCCACACTAGCCTGCAGAAGAATTCCACAGTTCAAGATTGCAATATCTTAGATCCTAATAAATCCAGCTCCTCTCAGTTGCACTTCAAAATTACGTCCTTTACTTTTCCAGAGAATGACTGAGAAAACAGGTATATGAAATCCACTCCTGCATTTGTTATATTATTTTCTTCATAGCACTCTGAAATTATTTATGGCTTTATCTTAAGCATTGTTGTTTTTCTGTCCCACTGGAATGTAAGAGCAATTTGAAGGATCTTGTCTTATTGATCACTGGATCCCCAGCATCTAAAATTGTACAACACAAGTAATTGGCAGTCAGATTTCCTAATTCACTGAGAGGTGACATTTATTTATATTTCATCTAGTGAAATCTTCACAACAACTTTAATGGGCAGGACCTATCTCCATTTTACAAATGAAACCCAGAATAAGTCATATTTAACTGAAAATTTAAATCCAGACTGAACAAACAGCAAAACCATCCTGTCACTCGATGGGTTGGACTACTACCCACTACATTGCACAATTGCCTAAAATAAAATCTCGAGGAAGGCATTACATCACAGTTCAAAGTTAGGAAAGACTTTCTGTTACTCTCCGAGAAACTGCTGGCTTTCTCCTTTTCTTTCTTTCTTTTTCATTTTTGTTGTATTGTTTTGTTTGTCTGTTTTGAGACAGGGTCTCCCTGTAACTCCTGCTGGACTGGAACTCTCTATGTAGACCAGACTAGCCTTGATCTCAGAGAACTGCCTGCCTCTGCCTCCCAAGTGCTGGGATTAAAGTCATATGTCACCAATGAGTAGCTGATTTTTCTCCTCCATGCAACTAATTATGTCCTTTTTTATCTTCACTAGAAAAGCTCAGGGCAGTTGGGTGTGGTGGTATATGCCTTTAATCTCTTCTCTGCACCCATGAATTCACAATATCTTCCTTCCCATAATAGTTGACATGCATTGAACCTTTCACTGTGTTCTCAGTTATATGAGCATTTAACATGTACATCCAATGTACTCTTCACCTCAACCTTATGATCAAGCAACCTTATTACTCTTCCCCCATTTGATATCCGAGATGAAAAACCCAGGATTTCAACCCAAACAATCTAACTCTGAGTGGAGCCTGTAAACCTACTCCACTTCATCCCTGCACTACTAACCTGTAAGGCAGACATTAGTGAATTATCTCTAAACAGGAAAGAGAAAAATCACTTCAGAGTCTTGAAAACTCACTTCATTGGGGCTGGGGATGTAGAGTGTGTGCTTAGAATGTATCAAGTCCTAAATTCAATTCCCCTCACCACAAAACAAGAAAAAAAATTCAAGGACAAGGGTCTAAGAAGACAATACAAAGAGAGACTACAATGATTTAAATTTGAATCCTGGTGGCTTTGGACATACTTGTTTCTTTTTTTTTTTTTTCTTTTTTTCCTGCTTCAGTTTCTTCATCACCTCATGTGATAGTTATCACTAACTTGCTTACCCCACAGAAGTGTGTAATGGTTCCTGAGGTAATGGATTTGAAAATATTTTATATCTTATGAACAAACGAATCCAGTAAACAAGATCCTTGCAAGCTGAAGACAAACCCCATGGGAGAGTCAAGGAAAAGAAAGGGAAAATAATCCAGCTCAGGAGGGCTCTTCTTGGCTCATTTCTCATGTAAGGGGCCCCTTCTACCCACCTGACCTTCCTCTCCCAGCTGTCCTTTCAGCTTCATTCTTCCCTGCTATAGTCAAAGGTGAAAAATGTTCTCCTAGCTGTGTGGTTACTCTTTGAAGTAGCTAATATAGATGGAAAGGCCAATTGATGGAGAGTGGAGGTTTCCCAAAGTCATGCCGGGGTCCCTCCACTCCTAAAAATGTAGACTTCCCAACACTAGGTCCTGCTGCTTAGTGATCAAAGCTACTCATTTCAGTGAGCACTTTGTATGGCTTAACCTCAAACCCTCACAAGTTTTCAGCATATCCTTTCCCTTTCAATCCAACTAGCTGACACAGTAACAGCTTACAGCTGTTGAGAAACAACTATCCAGAAGCAGACAGAAATTGAAATTAAATCATGTTTCTGTGATTCAAAATCTTTCACTTTTTTTTCCCTTCCTGTCTTTTTGAGACAGGGTCTCCTTGTAGCCTCAGCTGACCTGGAACTCGCTATGTAGACCAGGCTGGCCTTGATCTCATAGAGATTCACCTGCCTCTACCTCCCAAGTGCTGGGATTAAAGGCGTGCGCCACCATGCCCAGCCAAAATCTTTCACTTTTGAATTTATGACAGAGAGTTGAATTTGGGGGCTTCCTGTTATACCCAACTAATTTTCCATAATCCCCAAGGTAGCATTACCTACAACATAATCATTTGTATTACAGTGATGTCATGGAATCTTAACATTAGACAGACTGACATATCATTTATGTGGATTTGTTTCAGGGCCTGTTTTTATTTTTATTTTTTACAGCTGGATCAGAACTTGACTACCTACAGGAATTTTCTTGAGATTTTATCAATGATTTCTCAGGTAATCAGTCATCATATCCACAGGGCCTATTTTTCTTGAGCAACAAAGAAACCTTTCTATGTTCAACCAAAAATTATAGTGATATGAATGACATTAATGAGGTTATAATTATTTTAGCAAAAAGTATGAAAGCTTTCATTTTAAAAAATAATATAAAGTATATGCCATTATCAGAAATGTTTGTTATTTTAATTCTATATCCAGTATTACAAATCTAAAACAAATTAAGTATATTATTGTATGTATGCTTAAATTAAAATTTCTATTATGTTGCCAGGTGTGGTGGCGCACACCTTTAATCCCAGCACTCAGGAGGCAAAGGCAGGTAGATCTCTGTGATTTTGAAGCTAGTCTGCTCTACCTAGAGAGTTTCAGGCCAGCTGGGGTTATATAGTGAGACCCTGTTGCAAAAGAAGAGGGGGAGGATTTCCTGTACAGCACTCCTGTTGCTTGAAGTAAGTTCAATTTCAGTTCTAATTCAGTGAAAAGCAATGGGTTTCAAAGTATAGTCCAAAGATTCTTTGGGGAACCTGAGATTCTCAGGGATCTATATGGGTCAAAACTGTTTATAATAATACTAGTGATTTACTTGCCTTTTTACCATGTTGATATTTATACTAATTTGTACAAAAGCAGTATGGGTAAAATTGCTGTGCTTTGTCACAAATCAAAGAAATGCTACAGTGTGTTCTAACAACCATTGTATTCTTCACAAAATGGGCTGGTACTAAACAAAATGTCAGTTTCACTTAAGAATGCCCGTTTTTTTTTTCTTTATTTTTTTTTTTTAAGAATGCCCTTTTTGAAGCAGTAAAAGAAATTAATTTTATTAGCCCTCGAGCTTTGAATGCAAGCCTTTATACTCTTTGGTATGATGAAATGGAAATTACATATAAAGCACTTTTCCCACATTTATTGAGCTGAAATTCACATAAGTTAATTAATTGATTTAATTTTTTATGTATATGAGTATTTTGCCTGCATTCATGTAAGTGTACCCATGTCATGCAGTGTCCTCAGAGGTCAGGAAAGAGTGTCAGATCTCCTGGAACTAGAGTTATAGACAGTTGTTAGTGCCATGTGGGTGGTAAGAATCAAGCTCTTAACTGCTGAGCCATCTCTCTAGCCACAAATCATTTTAAAGTGAACAAATCAATGGCATTTAATGTAATCATGTTTTGCAACCACCAACTCTATCCCAGTCCAAAGCATTTCATCTCTCTAAAATAACCCCATGCCTATTAAGCAGTTACAGGCCATGCATAAGGTACTTTTGCTCTATATAGGACAGTTGTCTTAAGGAAAACACTTAGGCAATTAATTATCTCAGTTGCAGGTGAACCAATCTCTTATTTTAGGGAACACTATTTTTACATTTTAAAAAATGGTTAAATTGCAACCTACAGTTTTTCTTTTTTTACATTTTATTTATTATTTTTATTTTTTATGTATGAGCGTAATACTTGCATGTAAGCAGGTGCACCCATGTTGTACAATGCCTGCGGAGGTCAGAAGAGGGTGTCTGATCCCTTGGAACTTAAGTTACAGTTGTCAGCCACCATGTGGGTGCTGGGAATCGAACTCGGGTCTTCCGCAAGAACAGCTGGTGATCTTAACAGCTGAACCATCGCTCCAGCCCCACCCCCTTTTTTATTGCAATCTATAGTTTTTCATAATTGGTTAGTTGACTAAATTTTTAAAAATATTTTATTTATTATTTTTATTTTATGTGTACAAGTGTATTTGCCTGCATGTATGTGAGTACACCTGTGTCATGCGATGCTGCAGAGGTCAGAAGAGGGCTTTGGATTCCCCTGGAACTGGAGTTAAGGACGGTTCGTAGCTGCCATGTGGGTGCTGGGAATTGAACCTGGGTCCTCTGTAAGAGCAGTCAGTGCTCTTAACCACTGAGCAATCTCTCCAGCCCATTTTTTTTTCAAAATATATATGAACTGAGTTTGTGGCTTCA